GTTTGTGGATATGACACTTGCAATCGCCGTTTCGTTAATTATGGCTGACAGCGTCGTAGAACCTTCCGTGGCCTTCTGGTGTATGCGCGCTCGATGATGCCGTCCTCGTCTGAGCGCCAGCCGTGAAGATGACGAGGGTGTGTAACGGCGCCTCGAGGCTTAGGAAGGCGAGCGAGGTGCGTGCAAGGTGAGATGAAATAACGTAGTGCGATTGCAGAGTCTAGTGCCATCCGATAACGTAGCTATCGCCACGAAAGGCAGGCCGTGCGGGAGATTGAACACTAATCCCTGGAGGTGCCCTCTGCCGCTGGGCACGAAAGTTCAGATACGAAGATATGATGGCAGGATGGGTGAAGACCTCGCCAGTGGGCGGCGGTGCTGGTCGGTTGCTGAGATATCACAGGCGCGCAGCGAGTTGTTTGGTCCGACTGTACAGTGCGGGAGAATGCGCCTGTCAATACAATCTGGATTCTGGACCCACATGGGGGCACGGAGATGAAGCGCGAGCGACGGTAGGAGATCAGCTTCTGTCGATTCGTGAGTCTGTAGGACAGGAGTCGACAGCGTCTGTGGAGTTGTTGTGTATTGCGGGGGGTGCGGCAGGTACGAATACGACCAATTGTCGATGTTGGATTTAGCACAGACGTTTCCGCGTCGAACATCGATGAGGCCGATTGCTCAGAGGCGAGGGTAATTGGGCAGCCCGGCGCGTTGGCCTGTAATCTGTGCGTGGCCCGCGCGTGAGAGCGGGGAGGCGCTGGGCGCAAGGACTGGCGTGTCGAGAAGCGCATACAGTCGTTTGTTCCATCAAAGAGAGGCGTGCACGGGGGAACGTTCTGTTCCGCTCTAGCGTGTCAAGAATCGTTCTGAGGCTTCCAGGAGGCACACGTTTAAGCATAAGCCGGGGAGAGCCTAAGAAATAGCCAACTAGAGAGTGCGATTGGAGCGCGACGAGAGCGTGATGTGCGGGGAATGCAGCGGGCACGAGGCGCGTTATCGACGCTCACGCAGGCTCGTAGACGGGCCAAAAGCGCCCGAGGACACAAGGACGGTTCTTTGAATGGACGTCTGGTGAACAATGGCACGGCGGCAGGGGGGGAAACCGATTGCTGTAAGCGGTTAGCTCACAGGGAGTCGTCAGGGTCCGACTGGGCGCGGCATTGTGCGCAGGGAGAAGGACTCCAAAGTCGAGTGACATCCCCCGGGCGCAGACCCCCACACGTTCAGTACACGCCCAGCTGGCCAGACGCAACCACGTCGAGCGCAGAAGAGGGATCGGGGCGCGGCCAGCCCAAAGAGACGCCTGGCTGATTATCCGTGAGAGGGATCTGGATTCTGGAAGGAACGAGGAGGGAGAGAACGAGTGGTTAGGACCGAGTGGTTGGCGCGTTGATTGGTGCACGTGCACCATTAAATATAAGGCGGCAAGCCGTCCACGCCCCAACACCTTTCCCTCCGCCCCCGCCTGCGTGCATACTCCAAAACGCTAGGCGACTATGTTCTCAGCCTCGTCCTCGACATATCGGCCCCTCAAGCGCAGGCGCCGCACAGCTACTTCGGTCATGGCCGGCGACTTTGACCCCAGACCGCGCAGGGACGTCCTGACGAGCGTACTGAACGGCGTGCCGCCCAATCCGGAGGCAGAAAATCTCGGCTGGGAGGAGAAGAAGAGGCCGGAGCGGGTTATCCAGGATATTGCGGCTGCCTCGCCGGAGATTGCCAAGAAGAGGCGCGGACGGCCGCCCAAGGCTCGCCCCTCAGCGCCTCACGCCCGGCTCGCCACTCCCATCTCTGCCGTGGCGCCTGCAGCCGCCGCAAACCCCGTGATCAGCACGCCGACGCCCGTGCGCCCTCTGGCTGGCACTCCGTTCGATACTACCTCTTTCGGCGGGCGGACGGTCATCCAGATGCTCTCCCAAGGCCGTGCGAGGTCGCTCACTCCACCGCCCATGCCATCATCACCACCCACCACTCCCGGGCCGTCTATATCATCCAGCACATCCCAGGTATCCTCCAAGCGCCTCAACACTCCCGACGATCTCGATATGCCGCCACCAGCACCGCCGCAGCCGAAGGAGCGTAAGCGCAGGGAGAGTGCCAGGAAGGGATGGAAGGGCTGGGTCGAAATATCGGACGACGAGGAGGACACGTCTAAGCGTATCAAGCTCGACGACCCCGTAGTCATTCTCAAGGAGAAACGTCTACGCAGCGGCCGCGAGCTCTGAGACGATGGCTTCGGTGATGGTCCCCGTTGTGGTTCGTGGTCGGTCGGTCGGGCGGTCCAACACCGTTTGATGCGATGTTCGGTCCATGCCCCACGACGCCCTCTCTGGCGCTGTTGTGGTCACACGATCGCAACCGTCCATTCTGGCATCCTCGGATCTGTCTCGGCCCATAGAGTCCCAATCCTGTTCAACGATCGATTATGCCCATATCCAATCCTCATTCCCGCGTCTTTTGTTTTCTGCCAAGGAACGAATCCGAATCAAATGAACCCGGTCGTCCGCCCGTCCCGTCGTCTTGTATCCAAAGTGGCCTCTCCCTCTCTTCTCCATTCTCTCTTATGTTTGTCCGTCATCCATTGCAACCCGAACCGTATCTCGTATCTCGCTAAATCGTAACTGCGCTGGTCATCATCAACACAACAATCATACATTCCCGCAATATACTCCCCTCGCTACAACTACGCTACCCCTCAACCTCAATCCCTTCTTGATTACCCTCTACCCCACCCCCGTACCCTCGTCGTCGAACCTTGCTTTATCCCGCTCGTCTCCCTCGCTGCTCGATCGTCTACCGTCTTCCGTCTACATATAGGAATCCTGAATCCTCATTCTCTACTACGTATTGGTTGCAAAATCTATGTTGTCGCGCTCGACGGCTTTGGCCTTTTTTCGCCTTGTTCTGTGCTGATTAATGCCGTTCGGTTCAATCAGGAACAATGAGTATCCCTCGACCGCTTGCGTAAAATACGTCGACGGCGAGACAGAACTACGCAGTGCAGTCCCGGGCACTCGGCTGGGGCTTAACTCGCGCGGTACCATCTTCGCCGCATAAATTAGCCGAGACAAGAGCTCCAAAGACCCAGAGCCGCGCCGCCTATATCTATCATTTACTATACCCATATCCGTCGAACAATGACTACCCCCATGCTCATCCCACACGCATGTTGGGAAACACGCGGCTCGCACATTTGATGGGCCGTGAAGCGCTCAAGGACTGCGCTGCACAGCCATTTGATTTTTGCGAGGCGCTGAAGCGGCCAGCGCGCGACGCGTCCGAAGCGAGTCGCGTCGCGTCGCGGTCGCGTCGGTTGGACAGCGACGGCCACCTCACCGACGGGCGCCGGCAGTTCCCGCGTTTCTTCTCCGCGGCTCCCTCCTTCCTTCATTCCTTCTACTGAGAGCACAAACTAACTCGGACTTCACTGCGGAACACACAACTGACTGCTGAGTACAATCCAACGCTAACTCACGATGCAAGCCATCGCGCCGTTCCTGCCCGCCCCGCCGTCGTGGTACCCGGGCCACATGACGCAGTTCGCGCGCCTGTTGCCGCAGCTGTTACAGCGCACCGATGTTGTGCTTGAGCTTAGGGACGCGCGGTTGCCGTTGACTAGTATCAATCGGACGTTCGAAGGTGACTATCCGTTTATTCTTTTACCAGTCACTTCCACGGCATTATTTGGGTTCTTCAGTGTACTGGAAGCGCAGCTGTTGCCAGCACACAGCGTACGGCGTGGCTTTAACGTTCGGTGACTCGTTTGAAGACGTGTTCAAGAAGGCACAGGGCGGTTCTTCTTCTCCCTTGAGGCGTGTAGCTCGAATAGAGTTTGCCAGCATCTTCTGTATGGCTGAAAGGGCTACCGCGTTTCCCTGTTGTGTCGTGTCGTGGCGACCACGCCTGAACCGCGTTGAATGTGATCACGATCGTCGCAACCTCCATCTCCCTTTCGTGCTCGGTCTCTGCAGGCTTCTATCTACGCACGCACCCTGCATCGCACTGGGGTGCTTCTCTTCGGAGGCTTCGTAGCTCCGCCGCTCGTACGACTTTGACTTGACTCGCGATCCCACTACCACGATCATATCTCTCTATTTTTCTCTATGGTCGTGCTCTGTGTGAAGGAAAATCCTTGTGCTGACTTGAGTTTGAAATTTATAGGCGCCCTACAGAAATGGCGACACGAACGTACGGCCCTCTCACTCGCCTCGCCAACGGGTGCGCCGCGCGTTTGTGAGCGTGTCGTGGTATTCAGCAAGCGCGATCTCGTTCCACCATGGGGTATTGAGGTACATCTCCCTCTCACTTTCTATCCCCTCTTCCACACGCTTACGATGCATTGATGTATACAGCCCTTCAGACGCACAATGGAATCCCGCTTCCCGCACCAAAGAAATTTCTTCGCGGCCTGGCGAGACGCGAGGGATATCAAGGCGCTCAGCGCGCTGCTCGTGCGTACGCCTTCTCCTTTCCTCGCATACCGCGAATTCGCGGAGGGAGCTGATGTATTTTTGGTGGTGGTGTAGAAATTGCTCAAGAGCACCCGCATTTGCCCGAGGTAAACGTCCTGGTGGTCGGCATGCCAAACGTCGGAAAAAGCACGCTGCTAAACGCATTGCGAAATGTCGGGATTTCCGGACGTAAGTTCGCACATTCACGTATCGACTATACCGCTCAAAGACTGATATTACTCCGGCAAACTAGCCACACCCAAAGCGCTTCGCACCTCGGCGACGCCCGGTATGACGCGTGCGCTGAGTACGCGGTTGAAGATCTCGCAGACGCCGCTCGTGTATGCTTTCGACAGTCCGGGTGTTATGTTGCCGTATCTTGGGAGTGGACGGAGGGGGGCGGAGAGGGGTGCTAAGCTCGCGCTCATTGGTACAGCCATTTCACCAATAGAATGTGGGATGAGACATGCTGACTACTACACAGCGGGCCTGAAGGAGGGACTGTACGAGCCGGAGGTGCTCGCGGCTTACCTCCTGTACAGACTAAATGCCCTCAACGCCGCAGGTAAGTGCTTCATCTCCAAGCTCTACAGCTATTTGACACCTCTAACAAACACTCGCCGCAGCCCCAGCGTACCTACACCTCCTCCCACCCGGAACACCACCAATAGACGACGTCGACTACTTCCTCGAAGAGCTCGCAACACGCCTCCAAATGCTCCGTAGAGGCGGCGTCCCCGATACGCGTCGAGCCGCAACATGGTTCGTACGATGGTGGCGCGAGGAAGGGGCTCGAGCACACGCACTGGCCGCTCCACCGTCTGAATCGCTTGTACCCGGTACACCGGTACGCGGTGGATGGGGCTTCGACCTCGAATGGGAGCTCAAACCAAGCGAGTGGGAAACATGGGAGAAGAGCATGCTCGTCCGGCCCAACGCGAAAGCGAAAGGGCAGGAGAAAGAGGAGGTCGAGGTGAAGTTGAGCGAGACGCAGCAGGAGATCGTGCAGGGGAAGATGGAGGCGTGCGTGGATAAGTACATGAGGGCAAGTGAGGGCGAGGGCGAGGATGTCAGTACGACGCAGGTCAAGAAGAGGGAGGTGGACGCGCGGAAGAGGAGGCAGAGGGAGCGGAGTATGGGGAGGTTGGCGGCGAAGCGGGGGAAGCGGTGAGGGCGTAGACGGTTAGTGGTGCGGTCGGCGATGGGTCGGTACATTACATTACATTCAGAAATAATGCTATGCGGAATGTCGCGGGATTTCGCTCTAGCGCTCAAACATCTTGTGCCCGATGTGAATCATATACGACAAGCTGTCGTACTCGGCGCGTAGGCTGATGGACAGGGAAAAGTGGCGGAAGACGGAGCTCGGGTGGCCCAGGCGCCGCAACGGGCCTGAAGCGCACGTGGGATTATTCTGGCTCGATCGATTATTTCCCGTTCGGGCTGGACGAGGTCGCTTCCTGCTCCCACCCAACCCTTCATACCCTTATCCTCCGCTTACAACCGCCGCTTCTGCCCAGAGTCAGACTAAAAGGACAAAGGCTTTAGATTTGTTTAGCTTGTACGTGGGCCTGTTTGATGGGCCGACACGTGGGATTTGGGAGGGACCCTTGCTGACTTTGGTTGATGGGGGTTGGCAGAGTCGCGCGACGGCAACACTTCAGACTCGAACGACGACCAGACAGCACATGGCGGACGGCACAACGGAAATTGACCTCGACTCGGTCATCGACCGCCTACTCGAGGGTGTGTGCCACCGCGCCGGCTTTATCGCTTGCCAGCTCACTAATAAATCCGAATATGTTCAGTGCGCGGAAACAGGCCAGGCAAGCCGGTGCAGCTACAGGAATACGAAATCAAATACCTGTGTACGAAGGCCCGCGAGATATTCATCAACCAGCCCATCCTGCTCGAGCTCGAGGCCCCCATAAAGATCTGTGGTGCGCCGCGCTTTCCCTTTTAGCATACGCTTATTACTTCAACAAATACTGATATATAAATCGCAGGAGACATACATGGACAGTACTACGACCTCCTACGCCTGTTCGAATACGGCGGATTCCCACCAGAAGCGAACTACCTCTTCCTCGGCGACTACGTCGACCGCGGGAAACAAAGTCTGGAGACGATCTGCCTCCTGCTAGCCTACAAAATCAAGTACCCAGAGAACTTCTTCATCCTCCGCGGGAACCACGAGTGCGCGAGCATAAACCGCATCTACGGCTTTTACGATGAGTGTGCGTCTGAGACCCGATTATTTTTATTCCGGCGGGGGCGCGTTAGGGGCGGGCGGGTCAATGCCAATTATTTGTGGCGGGCGGTGCGGGACAAAAGGGCGTTATATTGGGTGTGGGCGGCGTTATCGTGCTCGTCGCAGTGCGCGCGCTGGTCGCGCTCCGTCATCGCGCTCCTCGCCTGCGCCATCGGCCCGGACTTTTCCGGCCAGTGACTCGATAAACCGCGCGCGCGTTGCCCGCCGCCTGTGCCCCACAGCCCCCCCTCGTCCTCCGCCGGAACCCAAATACCACCATTCTTGTCCTTGTGCCTTCCGAAGATTGATGCTGACATATACTTTATAAAAATATTGCAGGCAAACGCCGGTACAATATCAAGTTATGGAAGACCTTCACCGACTGCTTCAATTGCCTCCCGATCGCAGCGATCATCGACGAGAAAATCTTTACCATGCACGGCGGTCTTTCTCCCGATCTGCAAAGTATGGAGCAGATCCGTCGCGTGATGAGGCCGACGGACGTCCCCGACACAGGTGCGCCCTTTCCTTGTCAACAATCATCTCTCCCTCTCGCGGCGTTTTGGATGAACATACTGCTGACATGTTGTGTGTTAGGTCTGTTATGCGACTTGCTCTGGTCCGACCCGGACAAAGACATCACGGGATGGTCCGAGAACGACCGTGGAGTGTCGTTCACGTTTGGACCGGACGTCGTCTCGCGCTTCTTGCAGAAGCACGATATGGACTTGATCTGCAGAGCGCATCAGGTGCGTTTACCCTTTCCAGCCGCTCGAGATTAGATTGAGTCGATGGCGCGCGTCTGCGGCCGGATGCGGGAAGCGCACAACCATACGCGTATTTGGGTTGGAGCGCCATGCCGTATTCGGCACGCTGTCAGCCGTCGCAGAAGCCGCCGGGTTATCTGGTCGATCTGCGCTTGCGCGCTCCACTCGGCCATACCCGTGCCGCCCGATTATTCTCGCGCCAGTGTGGTTGAGCGCGGTGTAGTGGCGCGAGACGCTCATCTCGGGCTTGGTGGTGCGCGCTGCCGCACAAGCGCGCTCAAGATGGGACGGCTGATCGCGGTTGAGTCGTACCGCCAGCCCTCGCGAGGCGCCGAGTCCGACCCTCGTCGCGCGCAGATCAATGCGTCCATGCGGGAGGGCGCACCGCATCGAACCAGCCGCACCGCTGCACCCGCCCGCCCGTTTCTGGCGTCTTTCCCCTCTGCTCTTCTCACTCTCAATTTGATCACGAGGGCGCGCTGCTGACTCACGAATTCTTCACAGGTCGTAGAAGACGGCTACGAATTCTTCGCGAAACGACAGCTCGTCACATTGTTTAGCGCGCCTAATTACTGTGGCGAGTTCGACAACGCCGGTGCGATGATGTCGGTCGACGAGACGTTGCTGTGCTCGTTCCAAGTGCGTGCACCCTTTCATCAGTCTTGCACAGTTGCTGACAAAGGACGATAGATCTTGAAGCCGGCAGAGAAGAAGGCGAAGTACCCGTACGGCGGGATGAACATGGGACGGCCTGTCACGCCGCCCCGCAAGCAGAAGAAGAAGGACGGCAAGTAGATGTCGCTCTACGTCGGTCTTCGCGCGCGCGACGGGAATGTGGACGGTCGAGGCCTGCGAGGGGATGGGCTGGGGGAGAGTGGTACGGAAAAAAGGCCTCATGGATAGCTGTTACTCTCACTTGACGAACCGCACGGACCGCGACGACCTCTCCCCGCTTTTCCCTCGCACTTTCCTACCTGCATCTCAACTTCAACCCACACAAGCAACATTTCCGCCCAGCCTCTCCTTTCCCCCGTCTTATATCTCCTCTGCCCTGTCTGTTCTCTCCCCAGCCTGTCCACTCCTCCGCCCATGTAATTTAGTCCAGCCTCTAGCCCTCCCTACGTCTCCCGCCTACCCGCCCCCGCTTCAGCTTCCCGTTGTGATTATTTCGTTTCGTCTGTCTCTTCGTCGTTGTTGTGCCCGCTCTTTTTCGTTTGAGGAGGGCGGGCTGGAGTCGTGGTATATACATATACATCTCTTTTCTCTCTCTCATATTGTGCTGGTTCAGCGTCCGCCAGGTAAGAAACCGTCCTTGTGGTGATGTTGGTGAGTGCACTTCTTCCGGCACTCGAGTCACCACCAGACCATATCTGATCAGTGCTTGATAGACAGCCTGATGAACTCTGAATAAACGCTCGCACAATCTGAGCCAATGAATGCCGACGCTGGCTCCGGGGATCGTATACCATCAGCTATGCTATGCTACGCTGTGGGTATAAGACATGAGCGTTATGGGTATCAAAGCCGAGCCACGATCTCTCCGAAAGCGGGAGACACGGCGGAGAGTATCTCGACGCATTCAGCCTGTGGCACCGTGAGCGCCCGTTCGCACACACGTCATACGATCAATCCCACATACCCAAACCCGTTTCTGAACCTCCTGACCGACATCGGACACGACGAAGTTGCTCGGCTCGTCGACCTTGCACAGGTTCACATACGCGCCGCGCAGCTCGTCTTCGCGCCCGGCGTTGCCCACCGCGCTCCATACGACCATGCGCGAGCCCTCTTCCGTGCTCCGCGCTATGACTTTCTCCGCGAGGCGCGAGGCGACCTGGACTGCTGATGATAGGTTGCGCCGGAGGGCGGAGACGCAGAAGCCGGGGTTCGCGCATACTGGGATCAGCGGCGTGTTCTCGAGGTGCTTCGCGAGTTCGCGGACGAGGAGAAGGATGATCACTGGATGGCGCCGGTGGGGGGTGAGCATCGTTCATCATACAGCTGCAGGAAGTGGAGTTGCGCACGCTTGGACTGGTTGTAGCGCGGTTGCTGCCCCAGCGCCTTGAGCCAGTTCTCGGGCTTGTTGAGCTCGTGCAGGACTCCGCCGCTCGGGCCATGGAGAACCTTCTCGGGCATCTCGGCATAGTAATGTATGTCGCTCCCGACGATGACGAGACGCGGGTGCGAGGCGGGACGCGCAGCGGCGGCGCGTTGAGCAGCTGGGATAAGCAACACGGTGAGCAACAATGCTGATAGATCGTTGACTTGGAGGCTAGATAGGCATCGCGATGTCATGTCAGTCGGTATGCAGAGAGCCAGTGATCATCATGCGGCGTACGTTTGCTCCCAACCATCGCCCGTCAGCTGGTACTCGTCCATCGCAACAGCGGCATTGTAGACCAAGATATCCAGCGCGATCCCGTCGCACTCGACACCATCCGCGAACTTCTGAATCGAATCAAAGCTCGAGAGATCGACAATGCGCAACTCGGCGTGCTGGTAGCCCGTGCCCATCTCGAGTTCTGCAGGCCTCTCAGCCTCAGCCTCGGCGCCTCAAAGCCAGTCGTATCGGGCGCACCTTTGATGGCGGCCTCACCCTTCGCTTGACTGCGACAGGCGAGGATGAGTCGTGCGGGGTTCATCCTTGCGAAGTGCTTCGTAGCTTCGAAGCCCAAGCCGATGTTGGCACCAACGACCATGACGGTCTTGCCGGTGAGGTCTGCCGTTGCGACGGGCGGAACCTTGTGGTGCTGGTCGCAAAGTACGGCGTGTAAGGGCTTCTTCATGACTGTCAAGCGAGCACGAAGAGAAAGAGATGTGCGCCATCGTGGAGGACAAGGATCCTGTTATGTATCTCCTTACTTGCTTCTCGCCAAGGTCACTTGAAGCGCTACTGCGGCGATCATAGCCCGGGTATCTCGCATAGCTGGCGAAGGAGAACGCCGGCCGCGTTGACGCGTTCTCCCGGCCATCAACAGCATGAAGGACAAGTGTATTGTTGTGCTTCTAGCACGGTATTTGACGATACTTAACTGCGTCACCACCGTGCTCGGGCCGATCAATGAGCGGATCAGCCGTTTTCACGCAGAGCAGATTGTGAAGCTAGAGGGGAGGGGCCTACGGTCGAGGGGAATCTTCACATAAGAATCGGATGTCGCGAGAGACATACAGGCCATGCGTTCATTGTTCAAGTCTTCAAGAAACTGGTTGTCAATCAGGTCAGATATAGCATAGTACATTTTGAGTTGTAGATCGACATCATCTGATAGCAAGTAGTCAACGTCAAACGCTTCAGAAGTATGTCACCGTCACGTTCTCGCCCAAGTCTTGGGCGAATGAAGTGTCGCTCAAGCTCTGCGGAGCACGCACAGCGGGAACGCTCAAGCCTTGCTCCGCGCGTTTAGCGAAGTAACCCTTCAGTGAGTTCGCGCTGTAAGATTTCGTGCTTTCGGGTACAACGACGGTCTCCAGCCGAGGAAGCACCAGCTTCCCGGTCATGTCGCTCGGGTTCTCGAGGAACATCAGGATGTGCAACGATGTGTCCGCCAGAACGAGAATCTTGACGTTCTCTGCGGTGTCAAGGATAGGCGTCGTCCGTTCTCCATGATATGCATCCATCCCGTTGCACAGATGAAATTCGTCGGCTTCCCTCATCTCGTCGATCCGGAGGACGAGCAGGTCGCTGAGGTTCACGTGCGTTATCGCCGTCTGCATTCGATCGTAAGAGACAGTTTTGGAGTCCTCCTCGTCCCAGTCCTCTTGCTCTATCGTCTGTGTAGTGACTTCGAACTGGAATGTGACGTGTGGTGCGGGGACGATTGGCGAGTGCAGAAGCTTTTCCGGAGAGCTGAGATAGGCAGACGCGTCGTACGCCACACTGAACTCGCCACATAACTGCTCAAATGGATCTGTCTTGACGCTCGCCACCTGCGGACGACGCTGTGAACCTGCAAGCATCGTGATAACGTCTGCCTCCTCTGCATCTTCCCTCTCCCTGCAGACTTGATCGATCGTGAGGCTGCACTCTGTAGGGAATCTCAGGGCTGAAAGAAGGTCTCTGCAGTTGCCATGGTAATGGCACGCCCGCAGAACGACTGAGCGACAAGTCGAAGGTAGTGGAATGGGCGAGCCTGGCCTCACGCCAGAGTAGACAGGAAAGACATCGTCCAGAATCAATGTTTCGAGACTCTGCATGACCGTGATTACCGCATGCAGTTGGCTATGCGTTGGTAGGTGATTAGATGGCTCCTCGGCGGTGACGTGAAGTTCAAGGTGTGTGACTCGAGCGAAGAGGTGCGGAGAAGTCCAAGGGAGCAGGTAATCGCGGAGTTCAATCCTTTCAAGCGCGCGCGCGCGTCTAATCTGTAGCAACCCGAGTCGGGGTAACGCCATGGCAGGCGGCTCTTCGTAAAGACCGTTCATGAGATCGGGATCCTGTTCAGCTTCGTTCAGAAGCTTGAGGGAGCGTAGCGAAGGCAGCTCTGATCCGATGACTTTGATGAGTCTGCGCATAGCGCGCACTCCAGTGGTCTCGACGTCGAGAGATCGAATGCGCGACCGATACGGGTCTGTGAACCACATCGCGAGAACCACTTGATCATATTCTTCGGTGACATAGTGTAACTTAACGTCCAAAGGTTGGGAGCCTGACTTCCCTAGCACGATGGCGGTCATATTTGGATGCGGATGTGCGGAAACGTCGACCTCAGACGCCCATAGGATGGCATGGGAGAAGGCGACCTAGAAAGTATACCCAGGTTAGATAGCTAACGCGACCAAAGGCCGTGTCAATGTACCTCTCGCCAGAATTTGCAGACATGAACGATAGACAAGAGCGTGTTATCGTCCGAGTGCATAAGTTTCCCCGAGGGCAATTTCGAGCGACTCGGACGCAGAGATTCGAATATCAGCGCCAGTACTTCCGGGGGGAAGCGCTCTGAGCTACTTGCAACGCTCGCTGCACCAATCTCCACATCAACATCCATTGTGGCGACTGATTGATAATGTACGCCTGAAGCTGGCGGCACCACGAGGCTGAGACGCGGATGGCGGAGGAAAGCAAGGTGCCATCAACACGCGTCGACGTTTCCATCTTTGAGCAACGGCAAACGCCGAACTGTAGACTGGTAGACGGCGAATCCATATAATCTATTGAGATCTGACTACAGTATGCACATACAACCTGCGAGGACCCTTTGATTCTAGCTAGTATACAACTGTACGGCACAACCAAGAAACTGCGTTCTATCATCTTACCCTCACGCGAACGCGGACTCAGCGTGAGGCTTCGCCGCGTCTTCCACGACGATCGCTCGCCTGGCAGCCTCATCCGTATCACCTTCTCCAGCCGTAGGTCTCCTCTTCCCGCGCGTGTCCTCCGCGTAGTTCTCGTAGAAGTTATTGGGGTCGCGCGGCGTATAGTTGCCGGGTGAATGATCTTGGTGGAATGCATGATGATCGCCGTTCTCGTGCGTGCGGCCAGGTCCGTCCCAGAAGTGCAGTGCATGGCTCTCAACGCCGTAGCTGGCGGGCACAACTTCGTGCAAATCTCCACGCGCAACTTCGACGGCGGGGACCTCGCTGGCCGGAAGACCGATGAGGTACGCGAGCAAGCACCGGATGACACTCGCGTGGCCGATGATGAGCAAGTCCTCCTGCTGTCGCTCGAGTTCGATGAGTGTTGGCTCGAGGCGTACACTCAAGTCGTGATAGCTCTCTGCACGCGGCGCACGGAACGAGTATGGGTCTCGCGCGAAGCGCTCCCACTCTTCCGGGTAGTACTTGCGTGCCTGCTCCGGTGTAAGCCCATCCCATACGCCGGGGTTGATCTCGCCCATCTGTGGCTTCTCGATCAACTTGACTTTGCACCGCGCGCCGCCCGGACGCTTATCATCTGCTGCCGCGAGGAATGGCCATGCCGTATGGTGCGCACGCCGACGTGCCGAGGTCCAGATCTAAGGAGAGCGAGTGAGCGAACGAGACCAGATTGAAGAAAAAGGCACGGAACGCACAACTAGTCGATTAGTCTTTGGGTCAAGCCCGCGTTCCTTCAAGGACTTCTCGCGGCGGGAAAGCACAAAATCGCATAGCTTCTCGGCGTACTCCCATCCGACTGGCGAAAGGTCTGCGTCCGCCTTATACGAGTGTTCGATCAAGGAATGTCCTGACTGTCGGCGGATTAGAAAAGAATTCGAGCAAAACAAGAGCAGAACGCACACGGGCAAAGTAGATCGTGCGGTAGCGGTTGTGGATGTTCATGAGGAAGAAGATGATACGGGACTACATGATTGAGTTAGCCCAGCGTATGAAAAACACTCTTGGGATGCCTTCACCTGAAGATACCCGTGTATCGCCTTGAAGGATATCAGTTTCTGACCTTTCAAAGGACCACGCTAGATCAAACATACATTGACCATAATCTTCTCTCCGACCTGCGTAGTCATGTCAGACCTCTATAACGAGAATGTGAGCTGAATCTCAACGCACATTGACGATCCGAATATGAGGATGTGTGAGCTCCTCGACGGGCTCGTAGAATGCCTCATGGTCCTTGATGCGGCGGTAGTAGTCTTTGACGGCCAGATCGGGATCCCAATTGCGATACTGAGTACCATTAGCACTGACGTCGGTGCCGACTGATCAGGCGCGCACATCAGGCGAAGATATCTTCACACTGCGGATGTTCCTCTCAATGATCTTGGGATCGTCGCACATGGATTCTGTACTAGCATGCATTGAGTACTCGTGGGGAATGTGAAAGTCAACAGGCCCTAAAGACATACCAAGAAAGACGACATGAATGCCCGCTTGACCAAACTTCTCCGCAACGCGCTGGCGCTGATCCCGCCTGCCGTTGTTCGCGTCGTAGATGACAACTTGTCCACCATGGTTGAAGAAGTCCCATATAGACTGCTCACAGCCTTCCAGACATTGTTGCCGTAGAGCCTGTGTTTCCGGAGACTTTTCGCCTGGTCTAGGGTTTAGGGCCTCCATCACTGTGAGCGGCAGTTATCGCATACCAAGCACAAAGTAGTCTGCAGGTAGCTTTTGCGCCCCGCCAATCATCTTGCGACGGTAGTCGCCCAAGGATATCACCTATGATCATCCACATAAGTTGGCCATCTATTTTGGTAGAAAGTAGGCGTACCTGCGTCTTGACACCGGCCCAACGTAGGTAGCGCTCAAGAGCGCGCGAGATGTGTGTCTTACCGCGCGCGGGAAGGCCGACGGTCACAACAAGGATTTTTCCAGCATGGAAGAGTAGGCCAGAGGCAGTAGTGTACAGAGGCGCGACCATTGCGCCACGAACTCGAAGAATGTAGCTCGAGTTGGTGGATGGAGCCAAGCAGGACGACGGGCTTCAGCTCAATCTCTTGGATCACGGAATGCCGGCCCGGGCTGCAGCCAGAGATGACGCGCGTTCGACTGAGTTGGTAGCTACTACCACCACCCAGATCGGCAGACTTCTATACTTCCCACTATATCGGCGTGATCACCACACGCCATCAACAGCCATGTCTTCTCGGAATGCTGCGGATCTTCCAGCTGAACTACTGGCTGAGATATTCGAATGGCACCACACCATTGCGGCACCGCTGTCATATCGCAGGGCGCTTAACCTGTCGCAGGTCTGCAAGACTTGGAGAAAGGTGTGTGAATTCATACACCCAAAGTCTCTTGATTCTGACTGCTTGCTCAAGGTTGCCATATCACACGGTGCTCTATGGGCCAACAAGCTCGATGTATCCCCTTCCGCCGAACTGAGCCGGCTCGTGCTAGAGCGAGCTGGCCATCATGTTCTGGACATAGAGCTCCGTGACATCTCGCCGCACTTTGCGAGGGAGTGCTTGGGAGAATGGTTCGACCCCTTGCGCCGTCTGCGCACGCGTTCTATCGACCTTGAGAGCTTTGGCAACAGCACCTCACCGATGGTGGCCCAACTTATTGGACCTTCCTTGCCTATGTTGCGGTCTCTCTCCGTGAGCTTTGAGACCGTCGGAGACTATGGATCCTTTGGAGACGAGGAGGAGGACGAAGTCGACATCCACACGCTATCCATTCAACACGCTCCAGCTCTGACCAGAGTCGCACTCCGCAATTGTCTCATGAGATGGGACGCCGACGTATACTCCCAGCTCACACATCTTGACATTGGCGTGAATATCAAAGGATTGCGGCAGTTTGTGGATCCCATCAGTCAATGCCCGACTCACGCCCAGATGCGGTCCTTGATATCGTCACTGCGCCACATCGTTGAGCTGAAGTTGGATATATTTCCACTTTACACTGCACCTGTTGAAGACGCGGAGAAGATATCTGTACCTCTCTCATGCCGGCGTATCACGCTGCGTAGCCTGCCCGCACATACAAGCTGTTGCTGGTTTGCCAAGTCGCTCGTCGTCCCGCCCGGGGCGGCGCTCACGATCATCCAAGTTTCCGAGGGAGATACCGCAAGGATGGTGCGCGAGTTCTCGCGTTCGTCTCAAGCCTTGAGCGTATCAACGACAGAGCTTGTGGGAAGCGAGTCTCTGGGTACCGTTGTCATTGGGGTTGGCGAAGCGCTGCCACTCTGGACACAATTCGAGCCCCTCATGGACGTGATGGAAGCCACACCGGGCAATCACATCACCCTCGAATTCGAATTTCTCGTTCTCAATGACGATCAGGAGTTGGAGGAAGAAGACATCACTCCGTCATGCAACAACATGATCAGCGCGATCTCTCGGTTGGACGTCACCGAGCTCGAACTACTGCGTATACCAGGGTTGCGCTATGCGGACGAGAATGAGAGCCGGTTTCGCAGGAAGCATGCCGCTTTCTTTCGAGTTCTTGCTGATGCCGAGAAGGTCAAGGTCCTCATCCTTCCCTTCTTGTCTATGCCCTTGCTGAGGGTTCTTGCCGCGCCCTCGGCCACAACCCACGAGCTCCTGTTCCCCCAGTTGGAATCCGTCATCCTCTCTCTGTATCCGCTTGACGCTGATTCAGTGGGTCTTCTCGCGAAGTGGCTCAAGGCACGCGACAGCGAAGGCTTGTCAAGAGTCACCCTGCATGTTCAGATCAAACAAAAGGAGTATGCGGACACACTTGCTCTTTGGAAGGTTATTGGAGAGTTCTCGACGATAAACGTGTACCATTAATAGCCCTGGAACTTTGTTGACATGTCTGAACACGTACAAATGTATAGTAGACTCACATTCGTGTCTTTTCTGTACCAATGGACGTGGGGGTTCACATCAGTAGTAGCTTGCGTTTGCGAAAAAGCTTCATCAGAATTTTGAGTCAGAGGCAATGCCGTATAGTCAGAGAAGGGAGCGCGGTGTTGGGTGTTCTGTACAGGGGCAAGAGGGGGATTGTGATAGAGATTCGGTGAATTCTGCAGTTCGGGCACCAGCGCGCACAGTGCACCTCAGTTCGCTTTCAGGAGGATCGATACTGCGGAGCCGTGCCTTGACCGGGTCCGAAATCGCGGATGGCGGCCAGACACGTTGGCCTTCGACTCCCATCACTGAACCACCATCTACCACAATAAATCTCGCTGCAGCCCTACTGTCCTCTATATACCGGGTTACTCGGTTCTTCGCGACCGGCGTGCGCCACCTGTCTCCACCCAAGTTGGAGAGGTACCTCAGAGTCTTTCATATTCGTTGATTCCACTACATGGCTATCGAGAGCCTGCCACAAGAGGTTCTCATCATAGTCTTCGAATATGTTCACGCCCTCGGTGCCCCAACCAGCCTTCTTTCCGGCAAAGCTACCAAAATCCGTGATCGGGGGATGCTCGGACTATCGCAAGTGTGCAGGCGTTGGCGACAGGTACGTCTAGCTTATTCCTATGCTAAGTACGGTATACTGACTTCTCTCTGATAGATGACCATCTCACTCAGTGCGCTTTGGGCAACCAAAGTCGATGTATCGTGTTGCTGTCTCGAACTGAACCGACTGGTCCTGGAGAGGGCTGGCTCCCGTCGGCTAAAGCTATCCCTTCAAGAGGTCACTTCGCGCGATGGATACGACAACCTGCGTCTGTGGTTCCAGCAATCTCATCATGGACGTATCCAGTCGGTTGACATACGATGCTTGGGGGGCGGCGTCTCCCGTCTTTTGTCTAAGCGTATCGGTCGAAATCTCCCCTCCCTCCAAGATCTCACGGTCAACCTCCGCAATAACGACGACAATCCAAACAGGTACGATCGTATATCTCTGGTGACGCTTCCAATTCGCTACGCACCCGTCTTGAAGAGCGTCACGCTACACAACTGTATCCTACCCTGGAGTGCGAATGTATACTCGCAGATAACGCATCTTTGCATTGACATCAACGTCAGTTTCGAGACATATCAAACGCCTACGCACACGGAGCTGGACACTGTACTATCGTCTATGCATCAACTCGTGGAGTTGTACATACGGAACCTCTTCCCTGATTACGTGTTCATGCGTGAACCCCAGGTCGCAGTGTTGGCCATTCGCCTTTCCCCCACCTGTGAGCGCGTGACGTTGGCGACCCTGAGCATCGACGGCATCGATGCGGAGGACCAGAACTTCGATAGCGGACAGCTGGCCAAGAGACTCGTACCCCCGAGCACGGCCACGTTCACCTTGGAGTTGACCTGTGGCGGAAGCCTATTAGGTCCCGTGAGAGCGGTTTCTGGATCGTCTCGACCTTCACGGGCTCTGAGTATCCGTACGGACGAACACCCTCATGATACTACTGTGCACATCGGTTTTGACGCGCCAACATGGATGCGATCTCCGGCGGATATGCTCAACGCTACTCAATTCCCAGGCCGGACGATCTCTATCGTATTTCGAACGGAAGATTGGCAGGCCGAGTATCTCGGACCCGCGTCTCCGGCACGAATAGCGCATTCCTTCGTCACCCAACACGTCGATGCGCTTAGAGCTCTTCAGGAGATCGACATCAGAGAACTTCAGCTTTTGCGTATCGACGGACTTCGTCGCTGGACCGACCAACAGTATCTCTTCGGGGGCGAGAGAGCGCTTATGGTTCCCAGGACACAAGACGGCGCTCCCCTACTCGCATCGGCGGAAAACCTTGAAGTCCTCATTCTATCTGATGGAGCCGATGTAGCCCTATTGGAGGCGCTCACGACGGTCCCATCCGGGAGACATCAGCTCTTATTTCTGCGGCTGCACACTCTCGTCTTGCGGTGGCCGCGACATGAGCCCCACGCCGACGCCGCTCGAGCAGTCGTCATAGACTTCTTCCTGAAGCGACGTGCGTTAGGTGCTCCAGTGAGGACTTTCCAAGTAGTTGCGATGGAAGATAGTCGGAATGAGCGATGGGAGGAACTGGAAGGGCTCACCGAGGTCATGACGAGTGTGATGCAAGGCGGTGCTGCGTCGGATACAGGGCAGTATTGACCGAGTATGCGTAGCTAGAATAGCTATATGTGTATACACCTCCTATACTTTATTACACTCGGTTGCATTTCTCCTTGAACTGCGTGGAAAAGTTCGAAAAAAAGATTCTCTGACAAGACTGCGCCCATCTGCGCCCACAGGCAACATGCCCACGTGATTATCCGCGAAGAAATTTCGCGGCGCGTCTTCACGAGCCCGCTACGCGCTCCTGACGGCCATGAAGTCAAATTACAAGGCGCGTGCCCGAATGAACAAGAGCAGGAGTCAACGCTTATGTGAATCTAGTTCTCGAACCTTTGTGGTACCGTCTATAGGGATGGCAACGTCGTGTTCACACCTGACGGTAACTCGATCTTGAGCCCGGTTGGGAACCGCGTCTCGGTATTCGACCTCGTGAAGTGCGTGAACCCAGCTGCCCCTTGATGAAAGAGTACTGATCCTCTCATAGCAATACCTCACGGACCTTCGCCTTCGAGAATCGCCGCAATGTTGGCGCAATCGCACTGAGTCCAGATGGACATGTACTCGTGAGCGTCGACACGGATGGCCGTGCACTACTCGCATCGTTCCAGACTGGCGTAGTGCTCGCGCACATCAACTTCAAGAAACCAGTTCGAGCGCTACGTTTCTCGCCGTGTGGGCGTTATCTGGCAGTAACCCATGGTTCCCACGTCCAGGTGTGGCGCACACCGAGCGTCCTTGTCCGAGAATTTGCGCCGTTCGTGCTTCATCGGACATATACTGGCCATCATGGGGACGTCACCGGCATTGAGTGGAGTCCGGATTCAAAGTGAGCCATGGCGTGCCCTATCACGACGCGCAGGACTGATGGTAGCCCAGATGCTTCATCTCGACGAGCAAAGACATGACCGCACGATTGTTCACCCTAAACCCAGTCGAGGGATTCCGACCCAAAACATTCGCGGGACACAAAGACGCCGTCGTAGGCGCCTACTTCTCCAAAGATGCCAAGACGGTATGTACTTTGCCTAAAGTCGCATGACAGAACCTTACTGTACCTTAGATCTACACCATTTCCCGCGACGGCGCTGTCTTCACTTGGAGAGCCAAGCCCTCGGAGGAGGGAGACGACGACTCCGACGTCGAACCTGTAGCATCAAGCTCTCGCGACCCGTTGGTTGCTCATACTCGCTGGGGAATCGCTGAGCGTCACTACGCCCATCAGCCCGGCTCGCTCGTCTGCGCCACTTTCCACGCCCCATCAGCTCTACTCGTCCTCGGCTTCAGCACCGGTGTCTTCGCACTCTTTGAGCTGCCAGCCTTCACCGCCGTGCATACGCTTTCCATATCGTCATCACGCATCTCCGCTGTCTCCGTCAACGCTTCGGGCGAATGGCTAGCCTTTGGTGCCAAAGACGCTGGGCAATTACTCGTATGGGAATGGCAGAGCGAGAGCCACGTCTTGAAACAGCAAGGTCATAGTTTGGACATGGCCGCTATCGCATATGCGCCTGATGGCGCTCATGTCGCGACCGCCGGTGACGACGGCAAACTCAAACTATGGGATACACGCTCAGGCTTTTGCGTTGTGACCTTTTCGCAGCACAGCGCCTCCGTGTCATCCTGCGCGTTCGCTGGGAATGTGCTCTTCAGTGCATCACTTGACGGCACTGTCCGCGCATTCGACCTCGTGCGATACCGCAACTTCCGAACGTTCACTTCGCCTCAGCCGGCTCAATTCGCCGCACTCGCAGTGGATCCTTCGGGAGAAGTTGTAGCGGCGGGCGCTGCCGACCGTTTCGAGCTTTACATGTGGAGTGTACAGACCGGCAAGCTACTCGACGTGCTATCCGGGCATGAAGGTCCCGTAGTCGCACTCGCGTTCAGCCCTACGGACAATGCTCTTGCAAGCGGCTCTTGGGATCGCACTGTGCGCATTTGGAGCGTGTTTGGGCGCAGCCGCGCGGTCGAACCTATCAGCCTGAATAGCGACGTGCTCGCATTGGCCTACTCTCCGGACGGCCTGACTCTCGCCGTGGCAACCCTCGATGGCCAGATCGCCTTCTTTGACACACGAACATCATCGCAAACGCTCATCATTGACGGCCGCCGCGACGTCGCCGGTGGGCGAAATGCGGACGACAAGATCGCGGCGAGCAACACTGCTAGCGGCAAAGCGTTCACGAGTCTCACGTACAGTGCGGATGGCGCTTGTGTGCTGGCTGGCGGGAACAGTGCTTGGGTATGCCTGTACGACGCGCGAGCGGGTGTACTACTCAAGCGCTGGGCAACAACCACTAGCTTCGCACTTGATGGCACTCAAGTCTTCCTCGACACCCGCCGTCTTACGGACGCGGGAAGCCTCGACGTCATCGATGACCGCGGCGGCGACAGTGATCTTGAAGAGCGTGCAGACCGATCGCTGCCTGGAGCACAGAAAGGGGACCTCAGCAAGCGCAAGTATCGTCCAGTGGCAAGGACACGAGGCGTGCGCTTCAGTCCGACGGGTCGCGCGTGGGCGGCGGCCGCGACTGATGGGTTGCTCATCTTCAGTCTGGATGACGGCGGCGCATTTGACCCCACCGAGCTCGCCATTGATCTCACGCCTGCCGCTGTTTACGCATCAATTCAAGAGAAGGAATGGCTGCGTGCACTATTGCTGGCATTCCGATTGAACATGCCTACACTCATTGATCGCGCCTTCCACGCCGTACCGGCGGATGACATTGCGTTGACTGCACGGTCTTTACCGACCGGCTATGTCGGGCGGGTGTTGGAGCGGGCCGCGGCGGCGCTGGAGGGTGAGCGGATTGAGTGGGCGTTGAGATGGGTGAAGAGCGTGCTGGGTGCGCATGGACGCTGGGTACGGGCGAATGCGGGAAGCGTCGCGCCGGTTCTGCGGAGCGTGAGGCGAGCGCTGGCGGGTACCGAGAGCGCAGTGGCCAAACTGTCAGTCTTCTTTCGGTCCCCCCGATACTTTGCTCGCATGCTGACATGGTCTCGGCAGGTGCGACGACAATACGGCGACGCTCAGCTTCCTTGTCGATCAGAATCGGATGCGGGAGGGTGTAGGCGCGATGGCACTGGAGCCCGGTGTGGGGATGGATGTCGACGTTCCGGCGTAAATCTGCATCTTCTGTATTCGTTGTTGTTTTGCTTCACGTTCCTTTTGGGTAGTGTCTTGCGAGGGTAGGTCTCCGAATCAGGCGGGCATGAAGACATGCGGACTCTAGGAGGCAAGTCTTGGATCAAGAGTGGCTACGATGGCTGTCACTGGCAGCCATACCAACTCCGCGTTAGCAAGGATCTTCCCCAATCCCAGGCGATAGCAGCCAAGTTGCCAGGTTTCAAGAACGTGCTTGCTCACTGTTGGCGCCATAAGGTCTTGGGGTTCGGGCCGCACGCGCAAATCGCGATGAGAATCCGAGACTACAAGTACGAGGCGCGCCTAACATTCACGCATCAGAACGCGTGTTACGAACGCCAGATATCGGTGGCTGGGTTTCACCCAAAGGCCCCCCGTTTTCCTTAACAACTATGCGCTCGATGCTTGCTGCTTATGGTCTAGCAAGCACCGCTTTGTGTCTAAATTGAAAGAAGCTTGCTCGCCGAGGCACGCGCGCGCACATCCATGTTGTTCGAGAAGAGTTGGCCTCACTGGTGGTTTCCCCGTTCAATGACATATGTTCAACACATTTCTTGGGCCGTATCAATCTTTTATTGTCATCAGTTTCGTCCGTTTGGGAGAAGCGAAACGTCCCAGTACGTGAGATTCTTGTCTTTCCATTGGCGGACATATCGGGTAGGACCTGGAGTGCACATGGTGTAGGCCTACGGTGGCTGAGAGGTTACCAATAGGGGATAATTGCGATCCTGGGTATTGGCTGAAGGTGATCGCCAGCGACGCTGCTAGCACGCGTTGTCTTCAGAAGCTCCGCTCCAGGATTGGAAGCTAGCCCGATGATTGCTCGATGACCTTCTCATCAGAGGCAAACTGAGGAGTACTTGCCTTTCCCGATCTGTGTATGATCACGCAAATGCCATTGCCACTCTCAATCTCAAGCCTTCTAGAGTCAGTTCATTCATGCATCTCTTGCGAGTGGCATCGAGTCGCTCTTTGTAAGATGGTCGAGATGTATTCACTCGTCGGCTAGAGCCCTGGATGCTGATACTATGACGGCTTCAATGTCTGTTGGCACCGGCTGTCAACCACTGTTCGGCTCGCCCTGTTTCGATGCTTCTGATCAACTTCTGATACAGGCCTTGCGTGTAATGCAATCTAGCACGCAGGCACTCCGAGACCTTAGGGCTGTTCAGGCTCGGCACTTTCCATATATGTCGCCCGAACCGTTGCAAGACCAACAATGGCATCCTGCTCTCGTAGACCACTTCATGACGGGCGGACGATGGTGTCTTCCGTCGTGTGTAGACCCGCTTCTGTATCCACATAGTCCGCACTGAACTCTGTGGACCAGCTGACGACTTCAGACATACTCTAACCCAGGAATACGTTTCAGACGCAGCTGCTGAGCGACTATGCTCCGTACATACGTACATACATGGACAGGCCGCAACAGGATTCAAGGCTTTGGCAAGGCTCACCGAAATCGCATGCGCGCATCGCCTATTCCGGTAAGCATCTCAGGCGATGGATGCGAAGTTTATACAGTGGACGATTGCACCAGTGGGTCAAGCCTACAGCAACCCGCCAAAGAGACAGCAGCGCCGCTTCAAGCATATCAACTATAAGTTTCCGTACATCTGGGACAAGCACTACGAACTCGATCTCCGATTCAAGCCTTCGAAAGCCTTGAGAGTGCGGTGGACGTCGGGCACCAAGATGGATGCCTGCCGCCGGGCGCATCTAGCCGGTCCCACGCGTTTGATTCCCGTCGTCCGAGCCGCGCTGTCAATGCCGGCGGGTCCTCTCTTGCCTTTCTTTCATCGACCGCGATGGGTGTCATCCACTTGGCTTTGCCGCTCCGATTCGCATTTCTTGTCAGACGAGTTCTCCTGCACTAGCTGTCGATCACGCTAGGTTTGAGGGTATCGAGACTGCTATTTTGACTAGAATGCCCATACACTCTTGGATGGCGCCCTCGAAATCGTCAGCAACGCCTGATGCGTACCTTCCAATGTCCGGAAGCGAAAACCTCTTGCCATTACGAATCTCGTGGGCGTAGCTCGGTGATGCCTCGCGGGACTACGGTATCTTCGATGCTCGTCGCACGCCACCATGACGGCCGCGTACATAGCCTCAAGGCGTCCTCGTGCTCGCAACCCGCCGATGAAGATCGATGCGAGATCTTCAACGACACCTCAAGCCAAGATGCTGGACATGATATGTTCGCATGGAAGTCCGCTCGCTCGCGTGGCTTCGCCGCACACCACAACTTAAAACCAATAGCTCAAAGATTTCACGGCCCGTCGTCATCCTCTGCTCGACTTTGGCTTCTCTTGATCAACATGTCCGCCCTCTCTGTATATACCGACTCGCGTTTGTCGCTACCACCGCTTGACGCATCTGCGGACTCGCCCGCGGACTCGCTTGATACGCCGTTCCCTCTCACACCCGCTGATCCGTTCGTACCGTCTTGGGCCCCTCCTCGCATTGTGGGCTCCGAAGTCTCCATCGCTCGCATAGCGAAATGTAACGCGCACGACCCAGAAAATGACGACTGGCCATCCGACGTCCCTCTGCATATGATCAACGTCTTTCGTGTCTTCGCTGTAAGTACCTCAGTGCTGTTATTTCGATGTGCATATACTCACTCGATCACAGACGAGGGTTGACGCGGATGAGGAACCTGCCCTCGATGCAAACCTCAAGCGTAAAGCAGAGGAGGCTTTCGTGGACGTTGAGCATCCCAAAAAGCGTCGTCCCGATGCTGAACACGCCGTACCGTTCCCGGCCGTCGGGCCGCTTCCGATATTCAAACACAAGTTTCAGCTCGCGATCTTGTCCAACGAAAACGCTGGCAGTGGACTGTCTGGAGAAGACGACGCATCGATCACGCGCGATGCTTGCTCTGCGTACACCTTCGAGTCCGACTCTGGCTCTGAGATCGATGAGTCTTCGTCTCCTTGCCTTACGCTCAGCGAGGCCGACCCCTCCTTCGAGCATTACTATCCTCGGTTGCACGCGCGTGGCGACGAAGTGCCTACCGTGGTTCAACCTCAGCTGCCAGTTCAACAGCCGTTGCTGTACCAGTATGCGCCTGCTCTTGCTGCCCCCTTCATGGACGCGCAAGCCCCGTCCGCCGACACGTACCCGAGCTATATTGGCGGCTATTCGTCGGACGTCTCGTCCTATGCGATGCCGACTCCGCATCGCGTTGCGCCGACACAGCCTAGTTTCCTGGGCGATATCCCAACAGACGTGCTGTCTTCTTCGCAACCCATCACGCGGCGGAGCAGCGAAGGCGACATCTGCGCGCCTGTCTCTGGATCAGCAGTTTACGATGCTCGTCACTCTCTGGCCCAACATCAACAACCACAGGCCGCCGCCTACCAGCACCAGCACCGGTACCAGCCGCAGCCATATGTGGATCATCGCCAGGTGTACTGGACGCCTCCACCCCAGCCTGCTTATCACTACGCTCACTATCACCATGCAATGCCGCATACTGGTCCGGTCTTGCTCCAACACTTCGCGCATGAACCGCTACACGGCTCGCACCCAGATGCGTCGGCACAGTCTTTCTCGTACTCCACCGCAACGCTTTTGCCCACGAGCCATGAAGCGCCCGCTCCGTTGCCTACATCGCATCAAACTCCCCTTCCGGCGACGGCTGCATCACCGCCCACCATAGATTATCAGCGCGCCCTCATCATCATGGACGATCGCGTTGTGTACGCATGCCATCTTTGCGAGCGCACGTTTGACTTGCCCAATGGCCTTGGATTACATCTGCGGTGGCACCAGCGGATGGATGAAAGCGAGCGCGCGGAGCGTAGAGTGATCGAGGAACAAGTCCGGCGCGCGTATCAAGGGGCGCAGGGGCATCAGCCAGGGCCTTACATCTTATCCACGGCGAATGTGTCGACGTACTACGATGGGTCTATGGCTCATGTACCGCACGGTCAATTCTCGATTCATGGGTGGCCCGCTCAGCCTCAGCTCAACGCCGGCTCTGCTGCTGAAGGTGCATATGTCGCGTCGATGCAGACGCACCAATTTGACCATGCCAATACGGCCCGCGGTACGGCTCAGGCTGCTTATTGCGAAGCCCAAAAGCCCTATGATCCGGCCTATCATACTCTGAGAAACACTCACGCTGCACCGCTATTATCGTACGGCGCTTTGGCGGGCGCCGGGTGGCATAGCAAGCGCGCGTGACGTATGGAAGGGATTTTCTTTTACCACAACTTCTCGTCATTGCTGTATTCAAAACTCAAAAGCCCTCGCATCATGTCTGATACCGTTCCTGTAGCCCTACTACTCCCCTGCACTCGGAACGTCTGTACCAAGTCGCCCTGTCCTACAAGCTCCTATCACTAGCGTTCTCATGCCCGCAACATATATTTCCCATTCAATTCATGAAACGTCGAGTATCGGCGCAATCAATCCGCAATACGTACCCGCAGCAACTAGTTCATATACGGCATCCCTTTCGTAAATTTAGCAGATCTCTACGACGCTTGCTGTCATACTATTTGCCAACTTGAATATATGTTGTGGACGTACTCTTCTAAGTCTCGACGATCTTTTGGGATATAATGTGCTTGCAAATTTCAACTCTGACGCTTGGCCGTCTTCGTCTTCGGATACAATCGCAAATTGTCCAAGATGCGAGTTTGAGCGCGCTCGAGACGCGCGCGCGCGCCACCGACGCGACTGACGTCACTCTAACTCACTCAGGTGACCGCGTCGCGACGCATAAATAATCGGACCTGGGCGACGGAGCTTACCCAGCAACGCCCACTCACTGCTATTAACTCTGAGCACACTCATCTATAACATGTACACCGTATGTTCTATGGTGAACAAGAGGCTAAAGACGATGTGCTGAAGTCGAAGTAGACCACCTCTGTCCCCACCGACGCCCACTGCGGCTCGTCCACTTGTAACTGTGGCTCTACGTGCGTGCGCCATATGTCGTCAGATGGTCACACGATAGCTCATCCTTCACTATAGCTGCCAGTGCAAGCCTGGCGAGTGCAAGTGCTGAGCGCCTCCATGATCATCTTATCAGTCAGCAAGAAGTTGAGAGTGTACGATGCATGATTCCTAGTGTAGCGATAGCGCGGATGTGAGAGATCGGTTGTTGAATACGATGTTGCGTGTGTGTGGAAAGAGGTCAGGGTTCCGAAGAGAAGAGATCGTGCGAGTCGTCCTTATTGCTGCTGAGAACATCCCCGACCATCCGGGCTCCCAGCTTCCCATGACAGGAAGACAGGTTGATCAGAGTCTAGATCCCCAAGGTTCAGCCTTGTACAGGGACCCGAATAAGACACTCATACGTCCGCATGCGTGCATAGTGTTTTGACGTGTCAGCGTAAACGCTGTTTCTGCGCTGCACTACCCCTAAGACACCGAGTACCAAAGTCTGACGACCCCGCCCCGTCAGTTGGGAGTCATTATAAGCCTCACACTTGTCGTATCGCCGACGTCAGCGGGGTCTTTCGAATGCACCTTCTCTGCGTCTATGTGATTCCGTGTGAGTCTACAGAGCCGCAGGTATTCAAAATGGCACTCGTGCCTACGCAATGGCAAGCTACTTCTGATGAGAGATGGGGATAACCACCCCACAGCGTCAACCGCTGGCTTCGACAATTGAGAATTATCATCTAGGCATGTCTCACCATAGCCTGGATCGACAGCATCCTACATGCTAGCAGCTTAGTTAGAGTTGACCTGGGTATATAAGGAACACAGCTAGCCGTTCCGGACGCAAGAGAGTCGACTCAGGACGCCCATCTTCTCACAGGTTACTCACCCTCGCTCCGATGTCTCCCTGGGGTCTCCCCGAAGCCATACGCCACGGATCTGTAAATGCAGACGGCCTAAACATGCATTTCCTTGAAGCAGGCTCGCCTGACGCTCCCCTTGTGCTCTTACTCCATGGCTTCCCAGAGCTATCCTACTCTTGGCGGAAAGTGATCCTTCCCCTCTCTGCTGCGGGATATCGAGTTGTAGCCCCGGATCTTCGAGGGTATGGCCTTTCGTGCCCAGATCGCGTACATTTCGACGACGATCTTGCACCCTATCGTCCCTATGCCATCGTACGCGACGTTGTGGCACTGGTCTTTGCGCTGCGCGCCCACTCTGTCTTTGCAGTTGTCGGACACGACCAAGGAAGCCTCGTCGCTGGAAACTGCGCTCTTATCCGGCCAGATCTATTCAAACGTGTCGTATGCATGAGCGCGCCCTACACCGGCGCACCCAGATACAAGAAGAGCGAGGGAGATCGCGGCGTTGTACGTCCGCCGAGCATCGTACCTTTCGTCGAACGCGCGCTTCATGCCCTCGATCCGCCGCGCAAACACTACACTGTATACTTCTCCGGACCGTCAGCCGATAACGACATGACTGGGCCAGAGCTGCACGCTTTTCTGCGCGCATATTACCACGTTAAGAGCGCGGATTGGGAGGGAAACGGAGAGCCTCACGCGCTCGCGGCACCGACGGCCGAGGCGATTGCGGTCTTGCCCGAGTACTACATCATGCAACGTGACAAGGACATGCCAAGTACGGTGCTATCGCACGCTCCGACGATCACGCAGGTGGCGGCCAATCGGTGGTTACCAGAGGACGAGCTAGCCGTCTACGTGAATGAGTATGCACGCACCTCGTTCCAGGGCGGCTTGAACGGCTATCGATGCTTCACGGAGGAGAGCGGGCGTTGGACGGATGACTTGCTAGCCTTCTCGTGCAAGACGGTGGACGTGCCAGCAGCGTTCATCGCGGGTAAGCGAGACTGGGGCGTCTGGCAGTTCCCTGGTGCGGTGGACATCATGAAGAAGGTCATGCCGAGTATGGGCGAGCGTTTCATTCTCGTTGACGGAGCTGGTCATTGGGTACAGCAGGAGAAGCCAGGAGAAGTTGTCGAACAGTTACTACATTTCTTCGAAGCGACCGCATGAATACATGATGAAATATGCAAGTCCGATCACTGCAGCTCGGTGCTCAGAACTTGTGAGAATTTGGCGGAAACTCCTTTGAGGATGTCGGACATTTCATCCTGCAGAATCGCATGCATTAGTCAACACTTTGTATCAGAACACGATGCCACACGTACCCAGATACGGTGCTGAACCACAAAGCCTTCCGTCGACAGAGACCAGTCACTTTCCTCCACGATCTCCATGTACGACGTATATCTTCCATGCATGAGCGTCTCGCAGTTCCGATGGGCGATCGCAGCCCACGCAATGCGTCTTCCGCCCTGCTCGGTCGTATTACCTAAGACAACATCCATGATGGCCATGAGCGTGCCCATCTTGAATCCCGCATTACGACGTAGGCCTGAGTAGCAGAAGCCTGGGTTGACACAGTTGATTACGACCTTCGAAGCGGGCACACGAGCCGCCAGTTCGCGAACGAAGAGGACGTTGAGAACTATGGTATGTTCTCGTAAGCACCGGGCTATACTGCAATCTGTCTGGTACGGACGTTTGGACAACGGATAGCGGGATTCCATGACTCCAGGACGGTTGCAGTGCTCGGCAGAGTTTATTTTCGTCAAGTAGTTTGGGCTAGAGAGCTCCTCAGGAGTGGGGTGAGTGTACAAGTGCGTCTGGCTCGTCACAACCGTGATGCGAGGTCGGTGAGAAGCAGTCGGAGTAGCTTCCGAAGTCTTGAGCATAAGTGGAAGCAGGCCGATGCACAGAAGCGCGCACGACATGTCGTTTACTTGAATCCTATCATCGGAATGAGTATTCACCCCAGTAGCCCAAAAACGAAACGAACGCTCACGTTTCCTCAAACCCGTCGCCAGTAAGTCGATGCTTGGGCACCGCCACAGCAGCGTTGAAGATTAAGATGTCCAGTCGCTCTTTTTTTCTCTCGAAATCGTCAACGAACTCGTTGACAGACGAGAAGACCGATAAATCGACAGCATAAGCTGTGGTACGATCGAAACCAGTCGCCTTCTCGATCTCTAAGCGAAAGGTTCAAAGTTGTGAGTCAGAGATGTGTAACGGACGCTATTAGCCAAGAACCGTACCTTTTGCGGCATCTTCACCCTTCTTCTGGCTGCGGCAGGCGACGACAAGCTTGCCTGGGCCCATACAAGCAAGGTGCTTCGCAGCTTCAAGACCAAGACCAGTGTTGGCGCCAACGACGAGCACTGTCTCCCCGGACAGGTCTTGCTTCTCGAGTTTGGGGATAGTAAGCCATTGGTTGGTGAGAAAGCGGAGGAAAGATTCGCGGCCCATGTTGTTCGTTAGGTCGATAGAGATAACTCTGCGCTGTAGGGCTGTTATATACACACAACTGGTAGATCATGACAGCTATCCACGAGAGTAATCCGTGAGATCCACGTGAGATGAGAACGCATATCGACTTCTGCATACAGCCCAGTCCAATCAGAACGTAAGCATTCTAACGTGAGCACGGATGACCCGCTTCGACACTTCCTTTCATCTGAGCGCACAACAAAGCACAAGCCCCGGAAACTTACTGGGCAGCTCCGGCCACTCACAAGTGTACCAGAACGTTATAACAACACAGGAGAAGAGCGGCAAGAAGGAGATGTGGTAGCGAATCTTCAATGCATCAAAATATATGACGAGTAGCTAACCGCGTAGTCGGACAACTAGCCGCCCATATGACACCAGGCAATATTGCGAGCCCGCCCTCCGCAGTAGGAAGTGCCAACGCTGAAGACAGCAGACGTGAGGCACAAGAGCGGTGTCGATGGCTTCTGTAGCTGACACGAGCGGGCGCATGGAGGTGGGAAGCAAGTCGTCGGGTCGCGTGCCGATTGACGCGCGTCAAAGCGGCGACTAGCTTGCACTGAGCTTCCATGTCATTGGTCCTTGTACGAGTCCACAATCGCCGACAAACGTCGTAACATCCTAGTTATGGTCCACTCGAGCTCTCATACACCATAGCCTGTCCAATCTATTGAATCGAAACTCGCGCTGATATTCCATCCTGGTTCGCGTCAACCCTACACGTGGGAACGAACTCTAGACTACGACAAGTATTGGTCTACGACGTGAGCAAAACTAGGGGACACCGTCCTGAGAATGTCGACCGTCTCCGTCTATGAGCGCGTCAGTTTCAATCAACCATGGAAAAGAACGAACACCGTCTTACCCAGAGACGCCGCTGCACCGCGTAACCCTCCTCCGATAAAGCCCAGTCACTCTCTTCGACAACCTCCATGTACTGGGAGTATCTACCATGTATCACATGCTCGCAATTCCGATGGGCCAGTGCTGCCCAGGCGATCTGTCTCCCTCCCACTTCCGTTGACTGACCGAAGAAGAGATCCATGAGTGACATCTGGATGTTTTGCAGGAAGCCTAAGCTCCGTCGTAACGCCGAATAACAATAGCCCGGGCTGACGCTGTCGATGACAACTTCAGATGCACTCACACGCTCTGCGAGTTCGCGGGCGAAGAGGATGTTGATCACTGGGATAAGATTAGAGAGGCGTGTGGTGCGAAGGAGAGAATTGCGAGCATTTGGAGACAGGGTACCGTTCTGCCATGATCTTCGAATCACAATGCTCCGCATCACTCAATTTGAGCAGGTAGTTCGGGCTGGAGAGTTGCTCAGGATGCGGCTTCGTCCAATGATGAGTACCGCTGGCAACTACCGTGATGCGCGGTCGATGGGAGGCGGAGGTCGTAGCCGCCGATGTCTTCAGCATGAGAGGGAGAAGACCGATGCATACTAATGCGCATGATAGATCGTTTACTTGAATTCTGGGCATAAGGTCAGTAGTCGCTCTCTCTCGAAGACATCAACTCTCACGTTTCCTCGAACCCATCTCCAGTCGGCCGATACTGCGATAGAGCCACACCGGCATTGTACATCAAGATGTCAAGACGACCTTCCTTCTTCTGGAACTCGTCTACGAAACTGTTGACGGACGAGAACACGGATAACTCGACGGCATACGATGCCGTTCGATCGAAACCGGTCGTCTTCTTGATCTCTGCATTCCCGCTAGCGTTAGGAACGCATGGGATTGAGATCAGTTCTCAGGGCGCACCTTTCGCAGCATCATCCGCTTTCTTCAGACTGCGACACGCGAGCACGAGCTTTCCCGGCCCCATACGCGCGAAGTGCTTTGCAGCTTCAAGACCCAGGCCAACGTTGGCACCCACAACAAGCACAGTCTGGCCGGACAAATCCTGTTTCTCAAGATCCGGAACAGTGAGCCATTGATCAGTTATGAAGCGAAGCATCGAGAAACGACCCATGGTGGCGAAGATAAAGGGCGGATAGAAGGACGTCCCATCCGAGCGCCACGAGCTCAAGCGCTATATGTACAACGTCACACCCACCGCCACGTCCGCTGAGCGTCGCGATCCACCTTTCAAGAAGCCTGAAGCCATTAAGAAAGTAAGCGATGAGACGTGATATACTTTCTTGTGAACGGATCGGCCGCTTGGCTTGTGTGTACCCTCGGCATGTCGGAATGACGACATCGATGTACATGGGCATCGACATGTAGAACGTATGCGTGTATTCGTAAGTAGGTCCAAGCAGACTCTCGGCCAGTTCGATCCGGACTCCGTTGATTGTGCATCTAATCGGTAAGCTGCAGGCCAGAGCGGCCTCGTCATGTCTTTCCTGCCGACCTCAGAATCTGCGACGGTGACTAAGTTCAGAGGCGTGTTATCAAGATCATATCCAGGGAAGCCATAGAGAAAGAAGTAGCATCATGAAAGGAAGGTCTTGGGAAGCAGCTCCTTCCCAAACTCGTACATCTCTTCCGAACATTCTGAGTGGCGCGCTTCGAGGTTACAGCTTGCCCTTGGGGCTCACACGCGGCGGAGTATGATAGCTTGACCGGACCGAGCCCAGCGCTGATCTAGAGTTAGCCTGATATGTAGAGATGTATATGTTACTGGGATATGCGTGCAAGCACTTGTTGCTCTTATTTTGTGGCTTTCTGAAGCTCATCCAGCCGACGCGCGGAGTGTACTGTAGGGGGCACCATGATCTTCCTCAGCTTCTCGAGATCCAGGCTGCTCGAAGGCGAGCCTGTCTCGGGACCGGCGCTACTCTGCCTGTATGCAAGTTATCATACTTTTTAGACCCGGCTCGGTGATCAAATGCCCCGATGTTGCACCGAAATGCATGTCGCGGCGGACGCTAGCCAAGGCACAATGGGCTCGCGCGACGGAGCGCAGCTGCCGCTCCCCGCGGGGTAGGGCATGTGGGGTGCGGGGACGGGGTGAGCGGATCACAGAGAACACAGATGCGCTTCCGCTGCGGCTCTGTACTCCAGATACGCAGCCCTTGCGTCTTGTCTCGCACGCGTAAGGCGCCAGGAAAAGCCTATAGGCCGGCAGTCAGCCGACATCCCGTGTACGTCTATACGACAGCCCGAACGTGAATCGTGACCCTAATAAGAGAGCATAGAGGAAGTGTCAAGACCACGGAGGTGTTGGGAGAGGCTCGAAGTTGCCGAGGCACACAACGAGGAAATATATTCATTGCGGGGTGTACCTGAAAGCCCAACCCAAAAACAGAGCAAGCTCAGCGCTGGACTGCTGATCGCAACAGGAGAGACCACACGAAGTCATTCGTCTATAGCCTGAGATAAGCTACTCTATCACGCGGTCAATTGTGTGTGGTATGCAGTAGGTTCACTATGATGGGTGGAGGCAGGAAGCAAACGATCCGACGGTCCTCGCGGATTCGCGAGTGCGGAGTGGACTTTGCACGTGGAAGAGCTCCGGCCAACGTGCCGGCTTCCTCGTCTCATCAAATGACCTTTCCGGACCTTTCATCCTTGCGACCGCGCCGCCGCATGCATTTCAACAACTGAACAGACCCCTGAGACGGCTCGCGAAGATCTTGCTTCTGCTTCTGAAGCGTGTTTTTCATACCGCTTCGCATCGCACGCGCCCTCAAACGCGAACTTATCCTGAACACCTTGCTCACTCAAGAGTATACCCTCTACAACCTGGTCTCCCGACGACGCCGCAGGGGTCGTCACTGCGAACTAGGCCCTGTGTCAAAAGGTGAAAAGTCGGGGAATTTTGTACGATCCTGGCAGGGATGGTCAGCTGAGCATGTTGCGACTGTGTGTGTGCCTTGCTTGCCTTCGCCTAGACATCAATTGCCAGCGCTAGGCCGTAACTATATAAGCTTCCTCATTGAGTACCCGCTCCTACGCGCTTCGTTTCGTGCGCTACCACACCAGTTCCCGAGCCTCCTGGTTGCTTGTCACTTGCAATGGCTGGCGGCGCTGCTGTATCAACGGGCACGGAGGGTTACCTCCACCTCCTCGACCCGAAGAGGCAATGGTACAACAACAGGCGGTCAGTACAGCACACAGGAACTTTCGAGACGGCAGTACTGAACTTCTTTCTCTAGCATCATCACGCTTAACGCATGGATTGTATTATGCCTGCTCACCTCTTCGTACAACGGTTTCGACGGTGCGCACTAACAAGTCGTTATTCTGGCCGCAAGTACTGATATAGTCGACGCAGGCAGTCTCATGAACGGTCTTCAGACCATGTCCACCTGGAAAGGGTACTTCCACAACCCACAGGGTTCCCAGCTCGGTCTTCTGAACGCAATTCAAAACATCGGTGGTCTTGCTGGTGAGTTTCGACCATTTGGTTCCCCGGGGCGTGGATTGACCGGATTTCGTCACAGCCTACCCCTTCGCCTCGTACCTTGCTGACGGTCTCGGACGTCGCTACACAATCATTGCTGGTGCTATTATTGTTCTGGCGGCGACCGCCGTGCAGACGGCGTCTACATCCGTGGGCATGTTCATTGGCGCCAGGTACTTTCTCCCGCCACTCTCATGCGGAGAGAGGGAGCTGACTTCTGCGTAGGTTCATGGTCGGTTTCGGAGTTACTTGGGCTCAGAATGCCAGCCCACTTCTGGTCACGGAGCTGTCATACCCTTCATACCGTGCGACCCTCACGTCTCTGTACAACTCCCTTTGGTACTTTGGCTCCATCATGTGAGTTCCATCATTCACTCCGGCCCGGGACGTATCTGACGGGCTCCACAGTGCCGCTTGGTCGACGTTCGGTACTGCGTACATGACCAACAGCTCTTGGTCGTGGCGCATTCCCTCCGTTCTCCAGGGTGCCCCCGCTATTGCCCAGATCATTCTTCTGTGGTGGGGACCCGAGTCTCCTCGTTGGCTCGTTGCGAAGGGCCGCGAGGCTGAGGCTCTCCAGACCCTCGCGTACTACCACGCTGACGGCGATGACACGGATCCCCTTGTTCAGTACGAATTCGAGGAAATCAAGACCGCCATCAACCTCGACCGCACCAGTATGTTCTTCCCTGTTAACTACAAGCACCACTGCTCATTCTCGATTAGTCTCCCAGAATGTCGGCTGGAAATCGCTCTTCACCACCGCTGGCAACCGCAAGCGCTTGCGGATCATCATCGCCATCGCATGGTTCTCTCAGTGGTCCGGAAACGGCCTCGTCTCGTACTATCTGACGATCGTCCTCGACAACATCGGCATCACATCATCCGCTATCAAGCTCCTCATCAACGGTATCCTCCAAATCTGGAACTTCTTTTGGGCTTGTTTCGCGTCGGTTATGGTCGAGCGTCTCGGCCGTCGCTTGCTCTTCATCTCTTCGGCTGCGGGCATGACTGTGTTCTTCACGCTCCAGACCGCGTGCTCCGCTGTGTATGCCAACACGAAGAACGAGCATGCCGGCCACGCTGTCATCGCGTTCATCTTCCTGTTCTACGCCGCATATGAGTAAGTTTCTCTCCATCCCAAGGAGTCTTCACACTTATTGACGATGATCTAGTCTCGCTTTCACTCCGCTCATCGTTTCATATACCGTGGAAATCCTGCCGTACCAGATTCGTGCCAAGGGTCTCGTGTTGTTCAACTTCGTCGTCACTTGCGCCCTCGTCTTCAGTACGTTTTGTCGTGATTCTCGCGACGTGCACCAATCTAATGATCGTTCCAGACCAGTATGTCAACCCTATCGCGCTCGAGGCTATCACCTGGAAGTATTACGTGAGTCTTCGCTCCTTCCCGCGGGCTCACAAAATGATAATGACGGTTATGACAGATCGTGTACTGCTGCTGGCTCTTGTTCGAGCTCGTCTACGTATACCTATTCATCATCGAAACCAAGGGCCTCAGTCTCGAGGAGACGGCGGCGCTCTTCGACGGTACGGACGCGCAGGTGTACAACACGGGCGTCCACGCTGCGGGCGCCATCCCCGAATCGCCTCGCGATGAGAAGGACCACGACTTCATTGAGAAGGCATGAGCTCCTCAGATACCTCGGTTTTGTTATGATTTGGCTGGGCCCACCGCGGCTGTGTACAATAGTGTTACGATTATCAGGGACATATATTAACCTTTACCGTTTACGACGTTCCTTCCTCAGCGTTCAGCTGATAATACCAGACAATCGTTTTCTACATCATGAAATCTCAGAGGTAACCCGCGTGATAGGTACCAATGTTCCGTGTGCGCAAGTGAGCGGGTATAGGGCGAAAGAATGGTTGGCGGGAGCGTTGAAGGCAGTTGGAAGGCAGGAAGTTGGAAGCGGGTTGAACGCGCGCGGCCCGCCACCGGCCCGTTTGCCGCGAGATGCGAACCGCCTTCCCAAAGCGGATGTCGCACAGCTACACATATGACAACAACATTCAACATGTTGCTACACCCGTATCTGCCACCGTTGACAGGACAAGCGGCGCGTGAGGCCCTAGAGACAACCGTGGCATATACTGCAGGTAACTGACATCCGAGTATTGCTTCCGCAACAAGCATAGCAGCACTATATTTGTTCTCAGTGTGAGGGGGTGCCTCCGCTGTGACAGAGGTGCACAACAACAGTACATGATATCAAAGTCCGAGAGGTTCCAGAGATACAGTAGAGGTAGGGTGTGGTCCAGGATGAAGGAAGAGGGTTCGCAAAGTATGTGTCCGGGGTATGAATGCAGGGTATCGCTGGCGCAGCAGCACCTCAAATGATGGTATAACTCCCTGTCAGACAGTTAGCACGTTGCCCCCTAGTTGCGACAGATGAGGCGATGGCGTACATATTCTGACTTCGCCGTCTCCACTCCCCGATACCAAGAGCGCCCCGTCTTGGCTCAGGTCGACGGCCGTCACTGTGCACAATGTCAGGACCGTTGACAAGCGGCGAACTTGTGGAGCACGTACCGCTATTCTTATGTCCAATAACGCAGAACAGCAACTCGCCCGTCTTCGGGTCCCATAGCTGCAACCGTCCATCGCGGCTACCGGAGGCCGCGCGGGGCACGCGTCCATGCTGGGCCGTTGCCGCCGCGAGGACATATTCTTCGTGTTTCATCGTCTTCTTCGCATCGACTCCAGGGGCAACAAATGGGTGGAGTGTGTGAGATGGCAGGCTCCAGCGGACAAGCTTCCGGTCGCGACCGCCGGAGACGAGGCCAGAGCGGCCCCAGTGCAGTGTGAAGATCTCGCGGTCGTGCGCTTGCCATTCACCAATAGGCGCGCAGTCTTGTAGGTTCCAGATACGTATCATGCCTCCGGATGTACCGACTGCAGCATACAGTCGGTCTGGCGATAAAGCGAGCGACGTCAAGGCAGTTGCGGCGACCGTGAAGTCAGCTTCTATGGAGAGTACGGTGCATTCAATCTCGTCGGTGACGTCTGCAATGTCCAGGTCCTCAGGCTCGGGCGAGGCTGAGCCATCAGATGCAGACGAGTAGAAGCTTGAGTAGTAGTCGGAGAACAGCGGCAGAGTCCATAGGCGTAGGGTACGGTCTCCGGACGCTGATATAATTGTGGCACTGTCCGCAGTGAATGCAATCGAGGTGATCTCGCGCTGATGTCCGACGAGTGTGTGTGCTAGTTCACAGGTAGGCAGTTGCCAGATCTACTTATACTCAGTAACAAGAACGTATGAAAGGGTTATCGACATACTCGTATCTTCATGTCGTCTGCAGCCGCGGCGAGCATGGTGCCGTCGGGACTGAACGCTACGCTACGGACAGGGTTCGAGCTCGGCCCCTCCCCCGTATCCACGTCGCAGCACTCTAACCTTACGATACATGAGTATCACGTATGTGTTCGTAGACTGTAGAACGCTACGTACTTGTGCTTGCCAGAACCGTGAACGTCGTACAGATATACACCGCTGTCTACGCCCACGGCGACCCGAGAACAGTCAGATGAAAAGCCGACGCTGTATACCTGCCTAATAGGCTCGTTCAACAGATGTACAATCATCACCAATTAGACTACACGCACCTGTTGTGCGATATCACCGCTTGCTGCTTGATGTCCATGACACGCCGCACGCTCGGGTTGAACATGCATAGCCAATCACCGCCTCCCTTCACAAACTCAGGTGGTACTGTCGCAGGCAGCAATACAGGCGGCTCATCGTACGACATGAGTGCGGCAGGCATGTTGTGCGTCGGGCTGCTTGCGGTCGCGATACCAAGTGGCCCCGGCGCCGTACTAACCTCGAGCCTGCACCTGGAGATCAGAAGCGTCGGGCGTATAAACCGGTCTGGACCGCTAGATGCGCAGTTTAGCTAATCAGCTATCATAGCATGTGCGGATGCCAGTGATAGTTTAGCAGAGAAGCCTTGTGCTATTCCCTGAACTCCCTCACGACCGTGGCGGGCGAAGCATCGAGCGCAGGCGCCGGGGGTGTGCGAGCAGAAAATGGGGCACCGTCCGTTTGGCGCCCGAACTTCGCGGTCACGCGCGCTGGCCAGCAACGCGCGGGCGACGCGTCTTGTCCTGAACGTCCATGCTGTTGGCGCAGCGCCGGTCCCGACTCTTATATTGTATTCGGAGGAAATCTCACTCGCAAGCTAGATATGTTCATGCTCCTTTCCGGGTCCTCTTCTTCGGCCGGGATGAATTCTCGTGTTCCATTCTCAAGAGACTGCACGACGAACCTACGTTATACGAGACCTTGACGGTCGCTACCACGCCAGATATCTACATTGGCAGAAACCGTGACATCTTGTCAGTCTGTACGTGAGAAAACGTTTGGCCATGACCTCAAACTCGATGCTGAAATATGAGCAGCGCCTCTGAAGACCCTGGGATCATCCCTTGGAATTGATGTGCTGGAGATGCCTAGGTCGCGCGCGGCAGCCAAGATGTGGTTGCCTCCACGGCCATTCTCAGATAACTTAAAGCCACCTCTGGAGAATGTCCTCGTGACCGCCTCGTTCGGCCGTATACTTCCCGGCCGCCTCCTTCGTCTCTTTGACCCAACCCGTCGATTAAACTGCCATCCAAGCGCGCTGCCAGCATACCGCGGACCCGCACCCATACAACGCGTTCTGCTCAACTCAGAGTCGCAGACAGCCGTCAGTGTCATTGAGATGACCGAGGTGCTACGCAAAGCCGAGCGTGAAAAGCGGACGGACGGCACTGGCGGTATCGATTCTGGAGGGATATGGGACACACGGCCATTGGTCAGTCATACTTTATCATTCAGTGTAGATAATAACTCAGTCTATGCCACAGAGTGTACCTCCTTACAGTGACTTCGCCACATTACGCGATCAGCTTGCGGTTGCTAGTGGTGACCTTCTAGTATCTGTGCTACATCGCATGCGTTCGGGCGAGCTTCGATCACCAATGCCTCAAGCCATCCCGGATGCCAGCACCCCGAGGGCGTCTTTGATCTTACCGAAGGATGCGCTGGTGCACTTCGACCGCTACGACGCCCATACTATCCTGCAACGACACCGAGCGATCGCTCACCACAAACCTCTCACGGCCGTGCTCGCTGCCGGAAAGCACGTACAGCTACATGGAATGTACGTGTGTAACAACACGCAAACCGGTCTCCCTCCAGGAACTGGATACTTCGATGCCAATCGCGACTATACGGGCGACCGACCTGGCGAGCGAGTACTCCTGTCTTGCGCGAACGGGACCACACTCGCTGTCCTATCCCTCAAAACGGAAAGCAAGAGGTTGCTCGACGCTCGCTCTTGGTTCATCGGGGCGCCGACGGAAAAGCTGGATGGGAAGAAGGTCGTTCGTTTCATCGCCCCGCCCGCGGACGCTTTTGCTCGTCCCCATTAGTGCAGGAACAGGGCGACCTGATTTCTCTACCTATCTCGTCCTGTGTACTGGTCAAACCCATATAGAATGAAGGCTCAAACGTTCAAGTTCTGCGGCTGAGAGCCCGACGCGCTGCGACCGCCACCTTCGCTTCCGACGGCTCGTGAGCGACAGGGTCCCATCAGTTCTGAGAAGAGACCTTCCATCATCGGGCCCGGCACGGCGCTTGTCCGAGTGTCGCTTCCGGACCGCAGAGAAAGGGCTATGTCGACTACCTTTCCTGCCCTTGTCGTGGCTATTGTATTGCTTATCCCTGAAATCATGCCCGCCAACCACATGGTACTAGTCTATAAAGTCCCACTCTTCGAATGACTGGGCCGAGCTCCTGCCCGCTCCTGAGCTTGACCATGAACTCGACGTGGACAGCCGTTCTGAATCGCATCTCGTCTGACATTACGATGCTTCAACTAGACCGTCCCTTGCTCATCCGCGACAACTACCGACTATTCCTTGGAGCCACGTCGATTGCTCTTGCTGCCCTTGTGGCGCGTTACATCCGCAGCCCACGCCGCAAGCTTCCTCCAGGGCCGCCCGGGCTTCCTTTCCTCGGCAACGCCTTGGACATTCGCAGTGCCCAGTGGCTCAACTTCACCAAGTGGAAGGAGACCTATGGTCAGTTTCTCATGACCAGTCTCCGGTCTTCCGTTCACATGATGGCATAGGCGATATTGTCTATCTGAGCGCTCTCGGCCAAGACATGATCATTTTGAACACCCAGAAGGCCGCCGCAGATCTGATGGACCGCCGCGCTGCCATCTACTCGGACCGTCCGCACAACATCGTCTCTGCGCAGATCCTCTGCGGTGGAATGGCTATGGTCTTTCAAGGCTACACTTCGCTGTATGTCGTCGGTTTGTACCCCGTCACTATGCATACTGATATGTATGCCCAGCTGGCGACGAATGCGCAAAGCTACTCACGAGAGCCTGAACAAGACCGCCGTCGAGGCGTTCCAGCCGACTCAGTTTGTTGAGGCCATTGCTCTCGCACAGGGCCTCCTCAAGGAACCCCATCTATGGGACGATCATCTCCGCCGTACTGCTGCGTCGATGGTCATGTCCGTGACCTATGATACGCCCATGCTCACTTCGGCCGAGGACCCTCGCGTGCGCGAAGTCAACGATTTCACGGCACGACTGACGAGATCTGCCATGCCTGGGGCGCATCTCGTCGAATTTCTTCCATGGCTCATGTATGGTATGACACAGTCATTCGTTTATTCACCGTTCCCTCACTCATTTGAACCCATCAGTCCCTCGGAGGTTCGCCAAGTGGAGGCGAGAAGCAGAGGAATGGCACGCGAAGGACTCGGCGATGTTCGAAAGACTGCTCCTCAACGTGAAGACGGAGATGGTATGCTATCTCAACCGTCTTGTCTTCGAGCTACGACTGACCGAATGCTGTTAGGATAAAGGCCGTGACCACCCAAGCCTGAGCGCTACGCTTCTGAAGAACTCTAAGCGATATGATCTGTCTGTCAAAGAGAACACTTGGTTGGCCGCCACCATGTAGTACGTCGAGTCCTCTGACCTATCCGGTCCTGTAGCTGACAAGGCCAAGCGCGGCAGGTGCGGAAACTACTTCCGCTGTTATGGCTTGGTGGACTCTCGCAATGGTCATGTATCCGGATGTGCAAGCTCGCGCTCAGGCGGAGCTGGATTCAGTTGTTGGTCGTGATCGCGTACCGACCTTCGAAGACTTTCCAAATCTTTCCTACATCCGCGCGATGGTCAAGGAGGCGCTCAGATGGCGGCCTGTCGACCCCATGGGTCTTCCGCATCGCTCTAGCCAAGATGACTGGTATGAGGGTGAGACCTTGCCTTTGGATGTCCTTCCAGCAGCAACTGAACAACTGAACACCGATGCAGGTCACTTCATTCCCAAGGGCTCAATAGTCATTGCCAATGTATGGGCACTACATTGCGACTCTGGGGCTTACGGTCAAGACGCCGACCACTTCAACCCTGCTCGGTTCCTCGGAGAAGATGGCAAGGTTGCACCGGGACCCGCAGATTCCAAAGAAGAGGGTCACTTTACTTACGGTGAGCTCACCCAGAATCATCTCCCATGGCGGATTGCTGATGCCTATTCAGGTTTCGGACGGCGGGTAAGTCTAACCGTGAGGGTACGTGTACATACTAACGATCGCTAGGTCTGCGTCGGGAAGCATGTCGCCAACAACTCCATCTTCATTGACATCGCCATTACGCTATGGGCTTGCAATATCGCCCGCGCGAAGGAGCCGGAGACTGGCAATCCGATCCCAATTGATGTTGACGGGTGGATTGAGGATGGCCTCGTCGTGTAAGCAGTCATCTGGATCCCCCGGTCCCTCGTCCATGCTGACTGATGGGATGCGCAGACGACCAGTTCCATTCAAATGTAGCATCACACCTCGATTCCCAGAAGCACCTGCGCTACTCGCATCTGAGAACATGGCTCGCGGCTAAGCGTACAGCGCTGTACTATCTTGACGCCGGGGAGGATATCGTGTTGCATAGCATCTTTCATTATGTGTCCTCATTACTACATAGAATCGCAACGTCCCCAGCTACGGTATGGCTTCTCTAACTATGCAGACGGGCTCACTGCGACCACCGATCCTGACCTCCCGAGTCTAATCCTCTCAGAAAGCATAAGCTAAGATCCATGAAGGACCGGAGAACGAAAAATTGAGGGACAGAGCTCTTCGCCCGGTATGAGCACTGTTTGTTCTAGTGCCGTTCTCGTCACACTCTTCCTGCACCTTCCCTTCACCGGACGTGACAAGCACTCACGCCTGCTTCCATCAGCCAAAACACCACGAGCGCGCCCTGTTCAGGGAAGAGGGGGCGCTCGTAGCATCTCAGCGTCGGAGAGGCGAGGCGGGCTGCTATCGGTAGAGCAGCTCCGGCAGAAGAAGGTCGTTGTGACAGGGAGGCTCGGAGAGGTGTGGGAGTTAGTACAGCCTTGCAAGGACCTCTTTATATAACCAGCGTCTCGCGCAGCCGTATCTAGGCAGTTGGCCACACGAGGGCGGGGCTCCTATGTGTCCGAGTAGCCGTCGTATTCACAAGTCGTGGCAAGGGGGAACGGCAAGGGGGAACCGAAGAAAGTGATTGAGAAGAGATGCGGCGGAAGCGGAAGCGCCGCAGGTTGACAGCTGCTCTCGTGTCCCCTTCTGAATATCTAGAGAGAACCGATGCTGTAGCGAGCGACGGACCCTCGAGCGCAAAGTGCACTACTGGGTTAATCGGGTGAACTGGAACCAGTACTGTGCTCCTGTTGTAAGGACCGCATGTGCCCTACTTGGGATATGCTGCTGACCGTTCTGCAGAGAGAATGGCTGCCATACGCAGTCTCAGTCGCCTGGGCCAAACACATCGCAACGCACTTATTCTTTCGCTTAAGTCAGTCTGATGTCACGATAGCTTCTTTGGGGCGTACATCGGCGCTGGACTAGCCTTCAGCAAAAACCAGGGCAGCACAACGAAGCCCGAAGGCAGCAGTTCGGGAATTGGGAAATCTGGGGAGACAGCGGCGAACGCTGGATCGCGCGCCCACCTGACTTGTCTCCGAAGCGACGCGTCGGCGTCAGTAGTGCTCCGACTGTCTCAACCTCTCGCGTTTCAGACCGACTCAGACTGGAAATGCGTATATCTTCGCGCCTGTATGGGCTGCTCTCCATATCGCATACCACCCACTCGTACTTCGCCCAGCAACATCGCGCACTTTACCATTCACAATGCCTACCAACGCTACATTACCCAAGACCAACTCGGGCTTCTTCGTTTACGGGATGAAGAGCATGCATCGTGCCTTCCGTGGCTCGAGCGCTCCGTCTACGCCCACTCGTGCCGCCGAGGCCAAGCCGAAGGAGCCGTCATCGTCTTTCCTGCGCACGATGACAAACGTCGGCATGCAAGTCCTATTACCCAAGCCCGCATTACCGAAGCTGCCCGTGTCTAAGGATGCCTCCACCATCAACACATCGACTAAGTCCTCAGCACGTACCACCAAAGCGCCGATTGCACCCAAGCCAGAGCCGTTCGTGCGAAAGCCGCTGCCGTCGTTCAAGACGCCTTCTCCGCCACGCAAGGCTCCCGTTCCTCGTATGACTCCCACATCCGGTGCTCGGAAGACCTGCCCGACGATCGTTCCGACGTGCTCGCCCGCCCGTGCTCCGATCCTGCACCGCGCTATCCGGTCGCCGTCTCCCAGGAAGTCAGTACGCTGGGAGATGGACTCGACGTGCAGCTCGTCGCCGTCGCCCGTCTTTGATTCAGCGCCTGTCTCACCCGTGTCAACTGCACCTTCGACCCCGGAGCCCATGCATAAGCCTGTGATAAAGATTGTGGACGCCTCCCGCTCGTGCAAGGACCAGGTTCTGCACAGTGTTTCTGCGAAGGCAGGGAAGGCGAAGGTCGCGACTAAGGTACGCTACATCGCCGAAGGCTCATGGTTCTATGCTGACAAGATCAATAGGTACAACAAGTCGCGCCGTCGCCCAAGAAGATGAAGACCAAGTCCTCCGTCAATAAGGAGAATGTCATGCCTCGGGTGATCACCCCCCAAGGACAGGCCAAGCGCGAGCTAGTCGTCGTGAGTACGGTCATCTTCCGTCCTGAGCTTTGCTCACCATCGTTGTCTACAGGCCGAGCCAGCCTCACAGTCGTCCGTCGCGCACACAGCGCTAGTACAGGACCTGACTCGGGCTCTGCAGAAACCCCAAACAGTCATCGTCACGGAGAACACCCCCTTCGGCCCGCGTCGCGTGCGCCGTGTTGTCGTCCCCGANGAGCAAGGTGTCTCGCTGCGCGCACTCGAGATCATCAACCGGGTGCGCAGGGAACGTGGACAGGAGCCGCTGAAGACCGTCCCGCGTCATATGGTCGCCACAAGAGCTTGATGAGGGGTCGAGGACGGCATATTTGCTTGTTCTTGACGGACTCATCATCTGTGGCAGACCCTACGCATCAGCGCCCGTCTTTGATACCCTTCCACCGCCTGCTGGATCTCTGTCTGTTGCCCATCTTTCTGCTTGTTCATACCTGCTTCGGCCGATCCAGATACCTACAGCTCTCGCATTCCCGCATGATACCTTCTCTATGTTCTCGTCTTCCATACCTGCCATCGTACTATACCACACGCACGCTTCCACCCGGACGGATACGGACAAGTCTAGGATTGTCATGCCACAATTACGTCTATATAGCATCGAGGCCTGCACTACATTGTCTACACATGGACTCCACGATCTCTCAGAGAGGCTGGGCGAGCTGTCTGCACTTGACAGCTGCGGCAGGAAGAGGTGTAGTGGCAGGTGGTCAACGCGAAAGTGCGGGTTTGTCTCGGCAAAAATCCAGCCTTATATACTCTCTGCCCGCGCGGCCTCATGTTCTCCTCGAGGCTGGTGCGTGTAAAGATATTTGATACAACGTGGCGCATAATGCACATCCAAAAGATCCGGATAAGAGCAGTGTTGAAGTACAGAGAAAGTCCACGAAGGACAAAATTTGCGAAAAATTGTAGGGCGGCGTTCGAAGGCATGCATAGCCGCCCATCCCTGACGCCGAGCACATCCCGCCTC